AGTCAATAATCAGAAATTTCTCAAAGCATAGCAGACAAAGAATCACTACATGAAAACTGCACTCCAAACCAGAGCTGACAGCTGGCACAACAAAGCATTACATAGTCAGTTCCTTGACAAAATTGAAGGAAAAGTTGACAAGGAGAAGACTTGGTGATGGCTCATGAATGGAACCCTGAAGAAGAAGACAGAAGAATGCTTGATTCTTGCAGCCCAGGAGCAAGACAGCAGAACAAATGCAATTAAGGCCAGGATCGAAAAATCAGCGGATAACCCAAAATGCAGACTGTGCAAGGAAGCTAATGAAACCATGGATCATCTCCTCAGCTGCTGCAAGAAAATTGCACAGATGGACTACAAACAAAGACACAACTGTGGCCCACATGATTCATTAGAACTTATTCACAAGTACCACCTGTCAGTAGGAAAGAACTGGTAAAGGGATTATAAGCCTGCAAAAGGGAGTGGAAAACAAACATGCAAAAATACTGTGGGACTTTTGAATCCAGACTGACAAAGTTTTGGAACACAAAAAAACGAGCTGATGTTTCCCCCTTCTTATGATGCAGTGTTTCTCAGCCTTGGAGTCGGGACCCCTGGGGGGGTTGCAAGGGGGCATCAGAGGCAGGCCCGTAGCTAGGATTTCGATTCGGGGGGGGGGAGTCTGAGTGAAAGAGGGTCTACCCTAGCAAACCTTTTGTATCGTTACCCCAATACCCCCATGCATATGGGATATATTGAGTATGGTGATCAGATCATGATATGAATAAACATAACAGTTTATATAATGCACCAGTAAGGCCTTTTCGTGAACCACCATGAGAATTTGGGGGGGGGGGTGAAGCCCCTCAAGCCCCCCCCCTGGCTACATGCCTGGTCAGAGGGTTCACCAATGACCATCAGAAAACACAGTATTTTCTGTTAGTCATGGGGGTTCTGTGTGGGAAGTTTGACCTAATTCTATCCTTGGTGGGGTTCAGAATGCTCTTTGATTGTAGGTGAACTATAAATCCCAGCACCTACAACTCCCAAATGTCAAGGCCTATTTCCCCCAAACTCCATCAGTGAGACATTTGGGCATATTGAGTATCTGTGCCAAGTTTGGTGCAGATCCATCATTGTTTGAGTCCGCAGTGCTCTCTAGTTGTAGGTGAACTACAACTCCAAAACTCAAGGTCAATGCCCACGAGACCCTTGCAGTATTTTCTGTTGGTCATGGGAGTCCTGTGTGCCAAGACTGGTTCAATTCTATAGTTGGTGGGGTTCGGAATCCTTTTTTATTGTGGGTGGACTATAAATCCCAGCAACTACAACTCCCAAATGACAAAATCAAGTCTCCCCAAACACCACCAGTGTCCACATTTGGGCATATTGAATATCTGCTAAATTTGGTCCAGTGAATGAAAATACATACTGACTATCAGATATTTATATTACGATTCATAAGAGTAGCAACATTACAGTTATGATGTTGCAACAAAAATAATGTTATGCTCTGGGGTCACTACAACATATGGGGAACTGTATTAGGGGGTCGCAGCATTAGGAAGGCTGAGAACCACTGTTATAATGGAGAACCCCTATTTCAGGATGGGAAAGCTTTACCCTTTTCTCACTTTGAGTATGACATATTTCAAGGGTGAGGAACTTGAAGCCTTGGGGCTAAACCCACCCTTCCCAAGGTCCCAATCCAATCCACTTAAATGGCCCTTTCTGATGATACCAACATTTGGTGGTTTCCTGGCTCTTGTACAGAACTTCCCCCCTTCTCACAAAGGGCTGAAATGTCTCTGCTAAGAATTTACTACTGGCAGGGACTCCATCTGGAAAAGCCCCAAATTCCACCCAGGTTCCTGCTGAACACAGATGGGAAAGATTTGCTGCCTTAAACACAGGCGTAAAACAATCCATGAGCCGAAGGTGATTGCAATTTCTATTGTGAATCAATGCCCAACTCAACCGTTTTGCCCATTTCAGCCCATTCTTATCAGCCTGCGGTGCTGCAAAACAATCAAGAAGTTTCATAACTAGCAAGCAAGGAAATTGGCATCGGCTTAGAGTGCCGTGGGCAGGGGAGAACAGGCAAGGATAAGGACTGCCTGGTGCAACACAGAGAAGATCTGAAAAAGGGGGTTGCTCTCTCCACCCCACTGCAAAAATGTGACTTTTGGTAGGAAATGAAGGTGATGGTATGGCCTCCAAGGGAGAGGAGAGAAGCCAAGCACCGCTCTATCACACCATTGTCCAACAGCTAGCAAGGAACCCTTTCTCCATGCCAACTTCTACTGCTCTTGGAGGGAGAGAAGAACAGCCACACACAGCAACATCATGCAAGAAGCACTTTCTCCATGCTAACTTCTACTGCTTTTGGAGGGAGAGAAGAACAGCCACACACAGCTCCCTCATGCAAGAAGCACTTTCTCCATGCCAGCTTCTACTGCTCTTGGAGGGAGAGAAGAACAGCCACACACAGCTCCCTCATGCAAGAAACCCTTTCTCCAAGCCAACTTCTACTGCTCTTGAAGGGAGAGAAGAACAGCTACACACAGCTCCATCATGCAAGAAACCCTTTTTCCGTGCCAATTTCTACTGCTCTTGGAGGGAGAGAAGAACAGCCATACACAGCTCCATCATGCAAGAAGCTCTTTCTCCGTGATACTACTGCTGTCCTCTTCAAGGGAGAGTAGACTAGCCACACACAGCTCCATTAAGCAAGAATTCCCATTCTCCATGATGCCCCTTCTGACCTCTTCAAGGGAGAGAAGAGCAGCCAGCACAGCTCCGTCATACAAGAAGACCTTTCTCCATGATACTACTAGTGTCCTCTTCAGTTGAGAGTAGACTAGCCAGACACAGCTCCATTATACAGTTTTTCCCAAATCTTTTTTTTGTGTGTGAAGGGGTGTGTGTGTGTGTGTGTAAGAGATGCTCAACCTGTACTTTAGCTGCTTTGAGTCTACTTGTGGAGAGAAAAAGCAGGATATAAATAAACATAATAATGATGATGATAATTTAATATTTGAATTTGTTTCAGTTTGATGTATTGTCGAAGGCTTTCATGGCTGGAATCACTAGGTTCTTGTGGGTTTTTTCGGGCTATAGGGCCATGTTCTAGAGGCATTTCTCCTGACGTTTCGCCTGCATCTATGGCAAGCATCCTCAAAGGTAGTGAGGATGCTTGCCATAGATGCAGGAGAAACGTCAGGAGAAATGCCTCTAGAACATGGCCCTATAGCCCGAAAAAACCCACAAGAACCTAGTGTTTCAGTTTGTTTTGATAATATCACTTGTTTTGTCTCCCTCTAACTCTCTTCCCCTCCTCTTCTCCTCCTCCTCCCTCTTCCCCCTCTTCTTCCCCTTCTTCCTCCCCCCTCCTCTTCGCCTTCTTCTTTTTCCTCTTTCCCCACCTCATCTTCTCCTTCTCTCCTTCTCCTTCCTCTTCCCCTCCTCCTTCCCCTCTTTCCTTCCTCCTCTTCCCCTCCTCCCCTTCCCCTTCTTCTTCCTCTTCCTCCTCATCTTCTCCTTCTTCTTCCTCTTTCCCTCTCTTCCTTCTCCTTCTCCTTCTCCTCCTCCTCCTCCTTCTTCTTCTTCACCATCCTCTTCCCCTCTTCCTCCTCTCCGCCTCCCTCTTCTTCTCCCCCCCCTCCTCTTCTCCTTCCTCTTCCCCTCCTCCTCCTCCTCTCCTCATAGAATCATAGAATCAAAGAGTTGGAAGAGACCTCATGGGCCATCCAGTCCAACCCCCTGCCAAGAAGCAGGAATATTGCATTCAAGCACCCCTGACAGATGGCCATCCAGCCTCTGTTTAAAAGCTTCCAAAGAAGGAGCCTCCACCACACTCCGGGGCAGAGAGTTCCACTGCTGAACGGCTCTCACAGCAGGAAGTTCTTCCTCGTGTTCAGATGGAATCTCCTCTCTTGTAGTTTGAAGCCATTGTTCCGAGTCCTAGTCTCCAAAGAAGCAGAAAACAAGCTTGCTCCCTCCTCCCTGTGGCTTCCTCTCACATGGCTATCAAATCTCCTCTCAGCCTTCTCTTCTTCAGGCTAAACATGCCCAGCTCCTTAAGCCGCTCCTCATAGGGCTTGTTCTCCAGACCCTTGATCATTCCTCCGTCTTCCTTCCTTTCTCATCTCCTTCTCCTTCTCCTTCCTCTTTCCCCTCTTCATCATCTCCTTCTCCTTTTTCTCCATCCTCTTCCCCTCCTTCTCCTCTCCTTCTCCCTCTTCCATCTCCTCCTCTTCTCCTTCTCTTCCTCTTCTCCCTCCTCCTCCTCCTCCTCCTCCTCCTCTTCTTCTTCTTCTACTGCTGCTGCTAATGCGAATCCTCTCTTTTTTCCTCCCCCTCAGGACCGAGACCCATCAACTTCACCATCTTTATCCCCCCCCCCAAATCAGGACTCAGGACCCACCCTCCACACCTAAACTTGCTTGGGTGCACACAGTGACTGAATGCACTTGGAATTGCTGGGTGTCCCAATCATTTTGGACTGGGCTTCCCAAATCCAAGACCTTGATGCAAATGTTGCTAGAGCTGACTTGAAGAGGGGGGGGGAAAACAATGCCCAGAATCCAAACTGGGGGGGGGGGGCGTCCCAAGGATATTATTTTCTCTCCCCCTTCAAGTCATCTTGGGGGATATCTGTGCCGTCTCTCCAAAGGCGTTGGAGGCAGAGACCCCATCCCAAGTCTTGGGGCCCTAGAGTTTGTGTCCCCCGCCCCAAAGAAAGTCGTACCTGGAGGAGCCCCTCACTCAGGATGAGCTGGACCCTCTTTCCCCCCCTCCCTTGGTGACCCCTCCCTCTCTGGGGAGCTCCCAACCCACCTCTGGGAAGGGAGGCAGCCAGCTAGCCAGCCAGCCACCAAGGACGCCTCGCCAGGCAAAGCAAAAGCCGCCCCCGTTAACAGCTGCTTGCACTTTGCTGACACGCGCGATTCCGAGTTGAACACTCCACGTCCTTGAGCCGGGAACGAGAAGTGGGGGGGGGGGGGGGGAGAGAGAGAGAGAGAGAGAGAGGCATCTCCCTCGCCTGCAAAAGACACACACAGAAGAAGAAGAAGCAGAGAGTCCGGGCTGGCTCTCACGGGCAGCAGCCGGGAAAAGAGCTCAGGAGCATCTCTCTCTGTCTCTCGTGACCCCCTCTTCATCCTCTCTGGACTGAGCCTGGAGAAGCTGCTGAGTGGAGAGGCTGGAGGGAGAGAGGGGAGGAAAAGGGGGCAGGGTGGACCTCCGCCCCATCGCCTCTCCACCCCTCTCCATCCCAGGGCTTTTGAGGAATCCAGAGTGAGACTCCAGAGAAATATCTGGGAGCATCAAGGCACTACAAGGTGAGGATTGGGCACTGCTTGCCCCAAGGCCAACTGGACTTCAACTCTAACTCTGACCCTAACCCTCATCCCAAAGGTGTTGAGGAATCCAGAACGAGCCTCCAGAGAAATATCTGGGAGCATCAAGGCACTACAAAGCAAGGATTTGGCACCGCTTGCTCTTAGCCGGACTTGTGGGGAACCAGGGCAACCTGGACTTCAACTCTAACTAACTCTAACTCTAACCCTGACCCTTCCATCCCAGAGGTTTTGAGGAATCCAGTACGAGTCCCCAGAAAAATATTTGGATGTATCAAGGCACTGCAAAGCAAAGATTTTGCACTGCTTGCCTTTAGCCAGACTGGTGAGGAACCAGGGCAACCTGGACTTCAACTCTAACCCTAAACCTAACTCTAACCCTGACCCTTCCATCCCAGAGATTTTGAGGAATCCAGAAGAAGCCTCCAGAGAAATATTTGGGAGCATCAAGGCACTACAAGCTGAGGATTTGGCACTTCTTGCCCTTGGCCAGACTGGTGAGGAACTCTAACTCTAACCCTGACCATCCATCCCAGAGCTTTTGAGGAATCCAGAACGAGCCTCCAGAGAAATATTTGGGAACATCAAGGCACTACAAAGCAAGGATTTTGCACTGCTTGCCTTTAGCCAGACTGGTGAGGAACCAGGGCAACCTGGACTTCAACTCTAACCCTAACCCTCTATTCCAGAGCTTTTGAGGAATCCAGAACAAGACTCCAGAGAAATATTTGGGAGCATCACTGCACTACAAGGCGAGGATTTGGCACTACTTGCCCTTAACCAGACTGGTGAGGAACCAGGGCACATTGGACTTCAACTCTAACCCTAATCTTAACCCTCCATCCCAGAACTTTTGAGGAATCCAGAACGAGCCCCAGAGAAATAACTGGGAGCATCAAGGCACTGCAAAGCGAAGATTTGGCAGTTCTTGCTCTTAGCCAGACGGGGGAGGAACCAGGGCAACCTGGACTTCAACTCTAACCCTAACTCTAACCCTAATCCTCCATCCCAGAGCTTTTGAGGAATCCAGAACAAGACTCCAGAGAAATATTCGGGAGCATCAAAGCACTACAAAGTGAAGATTTGGCACTGCTTGCCCTTAACCAGACTGGTGAGGAACCAGGGCAGACTGGACTTCAACACTAACTAACTCGAACTCTAACCCTAACCCTTCCATCCCAGAGTTTTTGAGGAATCCAGAACGAGCCTCCAGAGAAATATTTGGGAGCATCAAGGCACCGTAATGCAAGGATTTGGCACTGCTTGCTCTTAGCCAGACTTGTGGGGAACCAGGGCAAATTGGACTTCAACTCTAACCCTAGTCCTAACCCTCCATCCCAGAGCTTTTGAGGAATCCAGAATGAGACTCCAGAGAAATATCTGGGAACATCAAAACACTACAAAGCGAAGATTTGGCACTGCTTGTCCTTAGCCAGACTGGTGAGGAACCAAGGCAGACTGGACTTCAGCTCTAGCCCTAACCCTGTTCTTTGTCTTGGGAGGTGTTCTGGAGGTGTTCTCCAAGATGCACCCCGGGAATGTGGAGGTGGTGGGACCTTCGTCACTCGCTGTCCCACCTCAGGAGAAGACTTCCACAGAAGTTGCTGTGACCACGATCATCCAGTCCAGGATGGAGAACTTCCGGAAGGTGAAGACCTCCGAGGAGGAGAGCCCCCTTCCCTTCTCGGGCTTGCCCCCGAACGTGGTGGAGATGAAGGTGAAGGAGGGCAGCAAAATCCGCAACCTGATGGGTTTCGCCATGGGCAGGATGGCGCTGGGCGAGACGCGGCAGATCGTCTTCAGCGGCTGTGGTCGGGCGGTCACCAAGACCATCACCTGCGTGGAGATCATGAAGCGCAAGCTAGGCGGCCTCCACCAGCTCACTAAGGTTCAATACAAGACCCTGAGGGAAGTCTGGGAAGACAAGTGTCCGCGCCCCGAGGGACAAGTGGAGCACCTCACTGTCCACAAGAATGTGCCTTCCATCTGTATCTTGCTCTCCAAGGACCCGCTGGATCCCAACCAGATGGGTTACCAACCCCCTGAACCTCCAGAGGGGTTGTGGGTCAATGAGGGTAGCAGCCATGAAGCTGGATCTGGAGGAACGTCGACAAAGGGCATCAAGAGAAGGTATTCTGTGACTCATGGAGAGGAACATCAGGGCACCAAGCGAGGACCAGGGGAACATCAAGAAGATCCAGGAGAACTTGGAGAGCAAGGTGGGTTATGGACATGGACAATGTCTTCCTCCTGACGCACACTGTTCTGAGGAACCCTAAGCCATAGGTTGCATCTCCAGATGTGATGACATTAGAAGTACAGGCATATGCTAATATTCAGAAGGCACTCTAGATTTGAAGCTGCCTTGCAACCCACTAAAAGGGACCAGATGCAGTCTACTCCTGCTTTTGTTGTAAACTTGCTTTGGGAGACACTTCCTCTATTCCTGGTTTCTTCATCTATGACCATGGTCATGGAGATGGATCTGGAGGACCATTGACAAAGGACATCAAGAGAAGGTTCTCCATGACCCATGGAGAGGACCATCAGGGCACCAAGTGAGAACCAGGGGAACATCAAGAAGATCCAAGAGAACTTGGGGATCAAGGTGGGTTATGGACATGGACAATGCCCTCCTCCTGACACACACTCCAGAAGTGACTGCATCGTAAGCGAAGGTATATTCTGATATTCAGAAGGCACTCTAGATTTGTAGCTGCCTTGCAATGCACTAAAAAGGACCAGATGCAGCCCATTCCTGTTTTTGTTGGGAACTTCATGTATTCCTGGTTTCTTCATCTACAACCTGGTGGGTGGTTTCAGAAGCAAAGACCAATTGGCCCAACTGGGGGTTCATCTATGTTGTAGAATTGATGCACTTTGTTACCACTTTAATTGCCATAGCTCGATACTTCTGAATGCTGGGATTTGTAGTTTGGCAAGGGAAAGGGAAGGTGGCACTGTTTGGTTATCTATTCTATTCCAGAACCATTATTTCTTGACGTTCCTCAGATGCCTGTCACAGATGTGGGCGAAATGATAATTTTGTCAGCACTGATTGTGTTTAAGTGCAGGCCAAGCTCTTTAGGCACCACACCCAATGTGCCCATCACCACTGGGATCAACTTGACTGGCTTGTGCCAGTCAAGAGGCTTGGTGAAATGTCAGGAGAGAATGCTACTGGAACATGGCCATACAGCCCGGAAAACTCACAGCAACCCAGTGATTCCAGCCATCAAGGCTTTGACAACATAACGATTCTATGTATTGTTGAAGGCTTTCATGGCCAGAATCATTGGGTAGTTTGAGTTGTATGGCCATGTTCCAGAAGCATTCTCTCCTGACATTTCACCCACATCTATGGCAGGCATCCTCAGAGAATGTGAGGTCTGTTGGAAACTAGGCAAGTGGGGTTCATATATCTGTGGAATGTTCAGGGTGGGTGAAAGAACTCTTGTCCATTGGAAACAAGTGTGAATGGTACAATTGGCCATCTTGTATGGCATTGAAAGGCCTTGGAGCTCCAAAGCCTGGCTGTTTCCTGCCTGGGGGAATCCTTTGTTGGAAGTTGTTAAATGGCCCTAATTGTTTCCTGTCTGGTTTCCAACAGACCTCACAACCTCTGTGGATGCCTGCCATAGATGTGGGCAAAACATCAGGAGAGAATGCTTCTGGAACATGGCCAGACAGCCCGGAAAACTCACAGCAACCGAGGAGACAAAATGTTTCCTCTCTTTTCCGTTGCCCAAAAATTCATGGTGAAATTACTCAAAGCAAATCTGTTGTGCGTCAAAAGCAACAAAAGGTTGCTGTGAGTTTTCCGGGCTGTATGGGCATATTCCAGAAGAATTCTCTCCTGATGTTTCACCCGTATCTATGGCAGGCATCCTCCGAGATTGTGAGGTACTGTATATTGGAAACTAAGCAAGGGAGGTGTTATATATCTGTGGAAGTCCAGGGTGGGAGAAAGAACTCTTGACTGTTGGAGGCAAGTGTGAATGTTGGAATTCACCAACTTGGTTAGCATTGCAAAGCCTTGCAGCTTCAAGGCCTGGCTTGTTCCTACGATGCAATTCATCACCTTGGTTAGCAATGCAAAGCCTTGCAGCTTCAAGGCCTGACTGGTTCCTACCTCAACAATATTCCTGCCTGAACAACAACACTGAAAATGGGGGAATTCCAGACACGAAACAATAAGGACAGGTAACAACTCCCAACAAAGGATTCCCCCAGGCAGGAACCAGTCAGGCCTTGAAGCTACAAGGCTTTGCAATGCTAATCAATCGTTTGTTAATTCATCCTGGCTCATTGTCAAACTATTTGTTGTTGTTGCGTGTCTTCAAGTCAATTCCAAGCTATGATGACCCTCTCGCAGGGTTTGCTCTGAGGCTGAGAGAGTGTGACGTGCCCAAGGACATCTCATGGGTTTCCATGGCCAAGGAGGGTTTCAAACCCTGGTCTCCAGAAAGCCATTTTTCTAGAAAAGGTTCCACTGGCAAGTGTATATCTTTGTGTGTGTGTGTGTTACACAAACCAGGCAATTCGATAATTCTTTTGGAGTCTTGCAGTGAGATTGCTCTTATCAGACACTTCAGGGCAGCCAAAGCTGTTTGCAGTGGGTTCATTCCTCTCTGGAGCTCATTGATTCAGAGCGGGATCGCTTTAGCCAAAGGACGCTTCCACTCCCTCCAATCGCAGGAGGTTCTCTCCACCTTGTTGTTCTCCTGCTCTTCCTTGTCAGCAACATATTTCAACGCCACAATCAATGAAGTCTCGTTGCATCTTGGTCCTTGTCTTCGATATGTTTCTCTGAACACTGAGTCTTTCTGTGCTCTGCCAAAAGTTAACCCTGCTTTGAATGTCCTCACTGACTGCTGTAGTGAATCTGTTCTGGGTTTTAGTCTGAACTTTAAAGAAGTGACACAAGCTGCATATTTGGGGGGGGGGGGTAGATTTTAGGATCTCAGGGCACTCATTTGATGTTCTGATGCAAATCCAGTCCAATTCCTTACCTCACCGACACTGAAGTCAGCGAAGCAGAGGCTGGCCATCTGGCAGGGGTGCTTTGAATGTGATTTTCCTGCTTCTTGGCCGAATGGGGTTGGACTGGATGGCCCACAAGGTCTCTTCCAACTCTAGGATTCTATGAAGTGATAATTTATCACTGAATGTAGTGAAGTCGCCAAAGAGTTGGTCACTTACTTAGGCGATCCCTCGTAGTCTGAGTATGATGGTCCTCCAAGTGTAGTTACTTA